TCACATACAAAGTCCTCACACACTGTCTGCATTTTACACACTGCATCACATACAAAGTCCTCACACACTGTCTGCATTTTACACACTGCATCACACACAAAGCCCTCATACACACCGTCTGTATTACAGACACTGCATCCCACACAAAGCCCTCTCACATGCTGTCTGTATTACACGCACTGCATCCCACACAAAGTTCTCACACACACTGTCTGTATTACAGACACTGCATCCCACACAAAGCCCTCACACATGCCGTCTGTATTACACACACTGCATCCCACACAAAGCCCTCACACATGCCGTCTGTATTACAGACACTGCATCCTACACAACGCCCTCACTCACACTGCATTCCACACACAATGCCTATATGTGTGCAGTAAGGAAGCATCACTGTATGTGCCACTGTAAAGATTGTGAAGTTGCAAGTACCCAGCAGTAACAGGATGTCACCATGAGAGTATGTCACACACAGAAATATCAATAATCAAAAGTTCACTTACAAAGTGCTGCCATCTCCTTAGGTAGGTCTGCCCCAAACCGGCCAAAAAGGCTGCTATTGGCTAGCAGGTCGAAGGGGGAGTGGCTTCTGATGGAGTTGAAAGCGAATGGGTAGACAGCCGGTGGGAAGCCAGTCATGTGGCCCACCTGCCGTTCCCGATTGGTCGCCATGGCAAACGGAGAGTAAATCCGGCTCCGTGCAGCAGGAGCGTCAGTTTCCCAGGCCGGACACGTGGATCTCACACCGATTACCGTTGCCCTCTACTGGCTGCTGCAGCTGTGAGGCCTGATGTGAGCAGGACAAGTCGGTGGCCCGGCTCGCTGTGGGTGGGGCTTCTTTCAGCTGCAGAACCCAAAAGGGAGGAGAGAAGAGTGAAGACGAGGGTGAGAAAATGTAAGCATACCATCATTGGGCCATAATTATTGCTGCTTAATATCAGTTTCTTTAAGAATAAATGCAAATGCAACCGGCCCACATGGTCTGTACCTGAATAGGTCTTACATCTGCTCTTAAGCAAAAACACAGGAGGAGGAAGAAAAAAACAAGCAAAGGGAAGAGGAGGGAGGAGAGGAAAAGGAGGAATGTCTCATTTTAATGCACCTTTATGTGGTTGGTGAGGGAGGACTTCAGAGGGCATGCACACTGTGAAAAATAAACACAATGAACAGTACAAACATGCATTAAACCCCATTTTTTTGCGCATTCTGTGCACCCCGTCAAAGGCACAAATATAGCATGTATGGGGTTGGGTGAGACGCCAGAACATCATCAGCATGCCTCTCATCTCCACCATTTATCTTCACTGCTGATCTCCACCACTGATCTCAATCACTAATGTCCACCACTGACCTCCAGCACTGCTTTCAGAGGCACATGCAGAGCAACTGTAGCTTGGCCTGAAATTTGCCAAAACATATTCAACCCTGTGCACTTCAGCTGAGGGGAGAGGGCGGGATCTCATTTCTACAGTTTGGAAAGTCCTCCAGACTGTGATGTGATTCCATGCTTTGCCATATGATTTAAATCAGTAGAACTCTGCTATAAAGGACTTCAGTGCCAACTTAACATGGAGGCCAACCCATTCCCAATCGCCCTGGGACCCAAGGCCCAGACATGGGTTCGACTGGCCATCCGTGTAACACCTCCGAATGCCCTCCTCCGTACCGGTCCAGCTCAGATTCCCCATCCTGTCTTCTGCCCCGTCGGTTAGCCAGGGCTGAGGGCTATCTGTCTCCCGGCAGGAAGGCCCCCAGGAAGCTGCCCCGTTCACTTGCCCGTCTCCAGGGTGACTGTATAAGCGGATGGCGTCTGTGGCCTCATTTTCTAATGTGGTTTTTGGAAGACGGGAGTCCAGAAAATTCTATGCTTTTGGAACTGCTGCGGCTGGCGAATCGGGAAAACATATGAAAACTGCTGCTAATAAATTCAGAGAGGGGGGAAAAAAAGAGAGCAGGCAGCATGTGCAGCTGAACTGCTGAAGCAAGCAGAACAACTGGAGGTGAACTGACTCGGTTTGGGCACCGGGGGGCAGTATGGGGCGGCAGGGCATCAGTCTGCCCAGGACAGGAAGCACATGTACCCAACACACACGCGCCTCCGAAGCTCCCCTCCCCCTCTTCCTTTCCCTCCTCTCTTTCCACAGAGGCACTTAATTACAGCCTATGGCTGCAGGCAGCTTCAAACCGCCGCTAATTTCGACCTCCATTACGGTAAACTGTTCCACATGTGTGCCGCGGTCCAGCGGCCACGTTTCAGGAAGGAGAGGCAGGGCCAGCCCCTCTGCCAGCCCCTCTGCCAGCCTGCCCTGCGTGGCCACACTCCTCACACTCTGCCTACTGCTCTCCAGCTTCTGTTCTCTTTCTCTGTTTCTTTTGTTCATGATGTTTCAGTCCATCTTCATTCCTGTCATCCATCCTCTCACCGGCCTTCTCACACAAGGTCTCTCTCTCTCTCTCTCTCTCTCTCTCACACACACACACACACACACACACACACACACATTTGCATTCATATCTCTGTGGGGATCATCCATTCATTTCTATGTGCAAATTCTTCATCTTAAGTATGATAACCTTGACACCTACCCAGACCTAAATTTAACCATTTGTAACCAAAAAAAATATATTTAAAAATACAAGACTTATGACTATTTTTTATTGCAGTCACAGATTTTAATAAATTCAGTTTTCCCATGTGGTGAGTGGAAAAATGTTCTCAAAAGGTCCCCACAATGTAATATATGCAAAACGACACACACACACATACAATGTCAGTACACACACACACTGTCACACTGCTACTGTTCACACAAGAACTGGCCACACACACACACACACACACACATACACACATGCAGCTAAGTCTCCGCTCTGATATGGAAGTTTGACTCTCTGTTGTCTTGTACACATTGTAATCTCTACAATAACAAGTTTCATCCCTTCATTCCTAGAATAACAATCCATTTTTGCATAACGAATGATTACCTTCCCATCCTGCTCATCACTGTGCGCTTGTGTCTGTGTGCCTGCTTGTCTTGTATGTCTATCTTGAATTTTGTGAGCACATTTGGGTTTTAAATAGCACTGTATAAGTTTAATATATCATTATTATTCTCCTCCATTAAAGCAACATGACAGGGTATGAGTTTCTATGGAGACCGTTAGGGAATGTCGATCTGGATGGATAGTTCCTTCAGAAATTCACACAGCCAGATTCTGATGAGCAGAACAAACTGAGAGGAGAAGATGAACATCTCCCATCCCTGGTCTGCACTCACTTTCCTGCACCAGAGTCAGGTCAGAGATAAATACGGACAGCTCACCTGAGTGGCCGTCTATGAAACTCATAGATGATACACAGAATACATCCATACTAAGTGAAATAAAGAATTACAATGACAGTCTTAATCCTAACATACTAGCAGACTGGTGGTATCCCTATATATAACCACACAGCTGATGGGGATGAGTTGTTAGAAGGTGGATGGATGTAGATACAATTTTCTTAGCATTGAAAAGGGCTCCTCTTCATCTGCTCTGGATCCGTGCATATAGAGCCTGGCAGATTTTTGAATCTGAGGTGGATAGAAAGGTAAACATTTCCCTGTTTGTTTTTGCGGAGTAAAAGAGATCCATTTAAGAATCCGTCATACCGCTCTCCACCACTTCCTCCCCTAAATGAGTCCCCTGCCCCGTCTGTGGGTACACCCCTTGCCCATGAACAGGCCCCTCTGTGTCCCACCACCTCAATGCCCCCTTCATGGTTCTGCTGCACGTATTCTTGGCCCCCTGCCCCCCCCCTGACTTAAAATCTGTTCCAGCATGCTCGCCCCCAAGGGGCCCTCTGCAGGCGGAGCTGGGAGCCGCGACACTCCTGTTGAAAGGCAGGGACTTTCCGCATTTTTCCTGGAAGGCTAATCCCAGACTGGTTTGTGTGCTCGTATGGAGCGAAGATGTTACTGCACATCCTCACAGGACTGCTCACCAAGGGCAGCCATACACACAGTGAGAATGTTTAACCCCAACACCACCCAGGCCATCAGGGACCTGCTCGCTCTCTCACTGCTCTGTCTCCAAGTCATTTTCATTGTCAGCTGCCTGTTCACTCAGCACTACAATAATTCTTTCATTTATTTCCTGTCATAGTATCCAAGATGCACTTTGTTCATTCAGCTCCCAGCTTGTTTCTGGATTGTGTGTCATCAGCTAAAGAGGGTCCAACACGTTTGCTCTGCGTATGTTCTTCACTATTTCCAGAATTTGTCTGGTTTTGATGTTCCTGGTGTTTTTGGACTTGTATACTTCATCAGGACTGCGTTTTTTTGTGGAAAGCACAGGGTCTTAGACAAAGACGTCGCCACCCAGGCAAATGTGGAGAACAGTTTGACATCAACTGCGAGTTTCAAAAGCCCACAGATCCATCACATTAATGAACTCCATTCTAGCACAGATGCTCCGCAATCAGTGCTGCTTTCCCAAAAAGCAGCCGCGCTACAATCAGAAAGCTCACACACTCGTACCTGTTCCAGCACCATCTGCTCGTGCTGCTCTACATTCGGCCTTCATCTGGATGCTGGAGCTGCGCACGCCTCAATAAGCAGCACAGCAGGCCCTGTCATTGCTGCTTCCTAAGCTATGTAAAGGTGTGAGTCTCGCAAGGCTCCTGTGACAGTTTTCTTTTTTTTTTGCCTGAGCAGTGATTTCAGTATAAACCAGCTGCAGTTTCACCATAAACAAGGGTGTGACTGAGACCCAACGAAACAGCAGCAAGCAAAACAGAAAGAAACAGGAAAGGGTTTCAGACGGAGGGGAGGAGGTACCAAAAGACCAACGGTTTCACTCATTTATGACTTAACTCTCGACTAAGAAGGACAATGGCCACAGAAGGCGCTCTACGTTGGCCATGATGAGCTTAAGAGAAACAAGGAAATGTGAAAATGAGACGTAAATCAAGGTGTTTCAGGAAGCTGTGGACCACAGAGCCAAAGGACGTGGTTAAGCTGTGAAGCAGAGCATAGCCGCCCAGCCCCCCCACCCCCAGGCCGCATAGTGTAAAACGAGAGATTCAGTGTCGACTTGAGGTTCTCTCTACTAAAGCAGCCTGCTTCTGGGACAAAGACTGTTATTTTGTCGACTTCACTGTCACCCACAGTCCTCCGGACCTCGTTACTGATTAAACCCCGAAACCCACAAACAGAAACGAGTTTAGGGGGGCACATCTGTTGGGCGGGATGACTCAGGAGGACATCCTGCACATGCCGGCACACCCCCCATTCCCCGGTGTTTGCGTGACCCCGGGAGAGGGTGTTATCACCAGCCTGCGAGCGCATTTCACCTCAGCCATACAGGCAAGGCAAGCCTCAGCATCGATTTACCTTAAAAACCGCCCCCCACATTTTAATGTGGTTATCGAACCTCCCGAACTGCCTCAAGGGCAGGAAGACCTGGCACCTTGCATGTGATCCATGGGAGGACGTGTCTCCCCCTGTTCAGAGCTGAAAAGCGGGATCGGTCCAATCCAGACTGCCACTGATGTGCACACGCAACATGCAACAACTGAAAAACACAGAAATCAAGGTCTTTCAGTGCAAACAGAAAATGGGCATCATTGTTCGAACAACGAGGATTACTTCATGAAAGCTCCCTAAAACGGGATCCAGATGTGCAAGATTGTGTGTGTTTTTGTGTCAATCGTATATCTGTGAGGGCAATGAGCAGGAATATCAGAGATTACTATCCGCTGACGGAAAGGCAGAGTCATATGCAGAGGATAAGCATTTGCTAGTGTATTGATTTTATGGTATTCACACAACCACACTAAAGGCAGGAAATTGCAGAATGAAAGGAGCCAAAATTAAAGTCAGACCATCAGCTCTGAAATGGGCTCCATGCCCTGGACCCGGATAATTAAACCAGCCAAAATGGAGCCCTGACAACATGCCACACTGGCACTGTGTGAGCTGGACAGAACCGCTTCCTGTGCAGGCACCACTATGGCTCTGCGGATAATGATCTTTTGGCAGCACCGAGTCTCTTACCAAGCCGTGATGTTCCCCCTGTGTTCATCCGTGCAAACAGCAACCGTGCGAGATGGCTGAAGACCATCGCTAGCGACGAGGACACTCAGTGCCTGGCACCGTCTGACCCGTGGCCAAGGCAGTGATGGAGTGATGGACCAAACGGGTCAACGGATCCCGCCAAAGGTCACAGACGCGGGGCTGAACGATCTCACCTATCAGAGAGGTTTTCTTCCCCCTCCTCTCCTCAGTGTATCTGTCCTTCAGCCAATCGTTCAGAAAGACAGATTTGCGTGATTCTAATGGGGAGAATGCAGCGCTCAGGCTGGTTAATGGTCTGGGTGGCAGCAGTGGACACCCGAAATGTCACCCCACAAAAAAAGCCAAACCTCAAGAGGTCGGAGTGACTGACTGATTGATCGACGGATCACTTCAAGTATCGACTGATCAGGAAAACACTCATTTGAAAAGAAATACATGTAAAGACTTAATTCTTCCTGGAACTGAGACATGTAAAAGCTGTGCTTGTCTACAGAAACAGACAACAAAAATCAATCTTAAGGATAAGATAATGTTACGTGAAACTGGTTCTGTGAAATATGACCGCTAACCTTAAATAACAATGTGGCCAGGAATCAAGCGTGCAGAACAACAAAGACTGACATTCTCATATATGTTTAATTACGTTTAAATATATAGGCACAAGGCGTAATGGGGGAAGGAGACTGAGAGCAAATGAAGGAACTATCCAACAAGCAACAAATGAGATAAAGAGACAGAAGCAGGGAACTTTAATGCTATCGGGACAGTGTGTGATTCAGCAGGATAATGCCTGTGATTAAGAGGTCACCAGTTTGAACTCAGTTTGAATAGTGACATGTCCATGGGACTTAATAAAGTTTCATTATTCTATTCTATAGCAGAAGCAGAGTCAGAAGCAGAGCAACCTGAAACATGTTGGGTGTAGATGGACCTGGACAAAGGAGCCTGTCCCATACCACTAGGGCCACAGCAACCCCACCCACACCAGGAGCATGTGTTAGCATGAAGTAGCTGAAACAGCTCATTCTCTTTCGTGTGGCAGGCACCGGGAGTGCGTGAGTTACTGCCTTATAGCCTCAGGTGATGCAGAAACGGGCGCACAATGGCAGACACCTGCAGAAACACACAGGAAACAGTGTCCTGATGGCTTCCTGCTTAATTACAGAGCAGGGCCAGGGGAAGCCCCCGTCATGGCACCTCGGGCCCAAACAGGCGCACCGACCCCACCCTCAGCTGCCAGCCCTGCAGAAGCCACCGGAGAAAGTGTGTCTGTCAGCAGATCCGTGCTTGATGCCAAAGTACAAGAAGGCTCAGGAAAGGCAAAACGACGCAGGTAAGAATTCCTGCGTGCTAGTCGGCACCGTGCATTCCAGTGTGCTGCAAACATGGCCTCCAGGAGGTGTGAACACTGCAGAAGCACCACAGTATCTCACTGCAATGGCTCCACCCAAACCCCAATAGCAGCCCACTGGCACAAAATTACACATGAGAAACGTGGAAACACATTCATCTGTCAGTCAAAGACACTTTTACTGAAACTCTGATCCTACACAGCTACAGACTAGGTGGTGGTGATGGAATTGTATGAGGTTAGGTGTTGCTGATAGGACAGTATGGACTGATACTGGAGAATGGGTGGAGCTAATGGGACAGTATGGACTGATGGACACTGGAGAATAGGTTGTTGGGACATTTATAGTGTATTTTCCGCTGTGAAGTCATTCAATCCGTTGCACTATTTCTAACCTAGATGAACTAATTTGTTTGTAAATCTGAATGAGTTTTACAGTCATCCCTCCAAATTAGTGAATTTGACGTTAGTGGTTTTGGTTATTCGCAAGGTGGCCGTGAACAATTAAATGTGAATATTTTTGGAACTTGCAAAAGATCGCCGAAACCCAAATGTCAAAGAAACTCACACGACGCACAGAAACTCACAGACAACACATAAGCCCAAAATATATAAATGATGCTGAAAATGACTTGGATCACATAAAACATACAATATATAATCATTAGTGTTAAACAATATTTGTTAGTATACGAGTACACCGTATCTTTAACATTAAAAGACTGGTGGAAAAGAAACATCACTGTGGGTTCTGCGAGTTTTACCCAGGTTACCCTGAGCGTCTTACCCTGGGTACCCTGAGCGTCTTACCCAGGTTACCCTGAGCGTCTTACCCTGGGTACCCTGAGCGTCTCACCCTGGGCACCCTGAGCGTCTCACCCTGGGTACCCTGAGCATCTCACCCTGGGTACCCTGAGCGTCTCACCCTGGGCACCCTGAGCGTCTCACCCTGGGTACCCTGAGCGTCTTACCTTCGACACCCTGACCGTCTTTATCTAGGCAGCCAGCCTCACTGTCTCTGTGACCGTGGAATCTCAGAGTAACTTTTTTAGAAATTAGTAATAAATAGACTTTTGATTGAATTGTTCAGGCTAGCAGACTGTTATGCGGGGAGGGTGGGGGACGGCAGAGATTTTCACACTGGCAGAGATCTTCCCCCCCTAACTCTCGGAAATGTGAAGGGGATACTGTACACTGTTATCAGGGAAGCTGGATATCAGTTTAGTGTCAATGGATATCAGTTGACTGCTTTGAATACACTGTCTTTAGGTGCCATTTCTTATGTCTGAATTGTTAAATGTTGCCTGTCTGATGGGTTTTGACCAAACCGGGAGCTCATTCTGCTTGCAAATCTGATCTGCTGCTTCATACCCAATATGTGTCCTGCGTGGCTTTTGGTTTCTGCACACAGCCTGATTCACGTCTGATTCACAGCTGCCTGAGGATAGCAAAAATGTTTTGCAATACTATGGCACACTATGGGTTTGGATGTTGGAAAATCAACCTTCAGGTTTCATAGACTCTACATCCTCCAACCTCCCTTCTGGAAAGACGCATCAGTACTTGCTAATTACTATAATTAAATTCATTAATGAAATTACTATTAATTAAAGTTAATTAAATTGTTGGTCATTTGTACACAATGTGAATTATATTTATTAACATTTTTGTCTCTGTGAGGTGGATTCTTCACATGCATCATAAGCACGGTCTTTGTTTCTGTTCTGTTATGAAAGAGGAATGATGCTTTTCGAGAAATTCCACTGAAAAGCTTCAAGTCCTTTTCATACCTGGGGAATCTGTCAGTCTCTCTGCACTACTAACCCACTAAGTACTCCCACACACTGAGAGCAAAATAGATAATAATGTCAAAACACTCAATTTATGAACATGCATTTGAGAGTGTCTGTAAAACACTATTCAAACGGCATGTCTCAGAACAACAGTTTTTCTGGAAGCGCTAAAGACCGCCTGCTTTATTAACACTCCTCTCTAACAAGTGGAACCAGTTCATCATTCATCTTTAACCCAAACAGAATTTTACACCATCGTTTCACAGACAAAATGACTTCCAGCTATGGAGAAATAGTAGGAATCTTGCTAAAACCTGCCACAGAGATGCCACACTTTATCCAAAAACAAGCACGTCCCTAAGAGCACAACTTTTCACAAATGCCATAACTGAAAACAGAAAAAAAAAAAAACATTTCAGAAAGTTATTTCCACAGACCAGCAGGTCTGTGGGTTGCTGCCTCTTACATATGCAAAGCGCCACACAATCTCCAATGTGCTGTTAGGGCTGCCCAAGTTCAGAGACACGCGACTGACACTAGCGCCGCCAAAATCAGATAAGACACACCGTCTCACACACATGCAAAAGCACATGAGAACCTCACACGTGCCCCAGCACTGCAAAATGGAAACTTTCTCTTTATCTCCTCCTTGTGAAATTTCTGCCTGACAGTTTTTTAAAACTTTCTTTTTACAACAAAACTGCTTCTTTCCCTCTGTCAGTCCGGATTACAGATGCCCACAGGCCATAAAAATAAAACTAAAACACACGAACGAATCGCAGAGTCGCCGGTGACAGAAACTCACCAAATGAGAGCGGGTCTGCCGGATGGATGAATGGACAGACTGGCCACAATGGGGGAGAAAAGAGAGCTGAAGCAAGTCTGTATCTTTCTTCGGAAGCTCTTCAGCAGCACAGGCAGAGCAGAATGTATATTTCTGTCCTCCTTAATGCCTGTACACCTCCGCACTCTCCCTCTCTCCGTCCGCCTCACTCAGAAATCATTATGCACTTTGATTCATAAACCCAAGCTGGGTCACATGACCCAACACTTCAAATATACAGCACATTTTTTCACAAGCCTCAGAAGCCTGGAGGGAAGAAAAAAAGGAGTCAGCCAGCTAAAGTTTCTGTTTTTAATTCTCCCTCTCTCCCTCCCTCCGCTGCTCGCTCCTTCGCTCTGCCCCCTCTCGCTCTTTCTCTCACTCTATCTGCCTGTCAATGTTTGCCTTTAATGTCTTCTTTCCTCTACTCGCTGCTGTCCCTCCCTTCTCAAGAATCAAAATCTGTACATTGTGACTGTGTGCGTGTAGCTGTGCGTGTTTCTGTGTGTAAGTCCCTGTGAGTGTGTGTGTCTGTGTGCGTGTTTCTGTGAGTGCATATCTGGGTTTGCGTGTGTGAATAAAAATGCAAACATGCATAAAGAGAGCAGCTTCGCTGATATACGTTTTTGTTAATTGCTGTGTAGAGGACACACTGATACTGGATCTGTCTGTGACTTTCATTAACTGTGTACCAGACACACTGATACTGGACCAGTCTGTGACTATCATTAACTGTGTACCAAACACACTTATACTGGATCATTAACTGTGTACCACACACACTTATACTGGATCAGTCTGTGACTATCATTAACTGTGTACCAGACACACTTATACTGGATCAGTCTGTGACTATCATTAACTGTGTACCAAACACACTTATACTGGATCAGTCTGTGACTATCATTAACTGTGTACCAAACACACTTATACCGGACCAGTCTGTGACTATCATTAACTGTGTACCACACACACTTATACCGGATCAGTCTGTGACTATCATTAACTGTGTACCACACACACTTATACTGGATCAGTCTGTGACTATCATTAACTGTGTACCAGACCCACTTATACTGGATCAGTCTGTGACTATCATTAACTGTGTACCAAACACACTTATACCGGACCAGTCTGTGACTATCATTAACTGTGTACCAGACGCATTGATACTGGGTCAGTCTGTGACTTCTACCAGCTACATGAAGTACAGTCATGCTGACTCGGTCTGTGCATTTTTGCTGCATTCAAGGACCTCAGATACTGACCACATGTGCAATTTTCATTAACTGTGTCCAAAAAAAAAAAAAACAGTGATACTGACTCCATGTGTGATTCTCCTGGTATACAGAACACACTGGCAGTAATACATCCCTAAAACACTCAAGGAACAGCATATGTCACGATGTTAAAGTCAGTGACATCCCTCTAAATGGGCAGCTGGGTCTGAAGCCACAGTCTTGGTGTTTTTCTGCAGGTACCAGTGTCTGTTGACATGGCTGCAGCTGATCCCATGCTGACGGCTCAGTCTGAGGTATTACCATTATCAGTGTAATACGAACATGTGCAGTCGTCAAATTTAAAGACAGTAACAGTGTGCCGGAGTTTAGTAGCAGTATTGCTTTTATTATTGTTATCACTACTACTAAGCTTGTTGTTATATATCCTTTCATACTCTGCTCTTATGTTCGGCGTAATTGTCTTATTTGCAGACTCTTAACCTATCATCACCTGCTCCTATAGGAAATTTATAACATTTATGACAAATATGGATACTAAACTCTTCCCTTCAAAACCTTGTTTTATAAAACTATGAAAGTACTTACTATGAGTTAACTATAATTTAATGAAGTACAATTTAATTTTGAGTAACATTTACCTACACATTAAAAAGACAGAAGCACAAATAAGAAAAAATACAAGTGTTGTGTGAAACACTTACATTCTGTATAATGTGACTGTATGTTTAACTACAAAATCTCAAGATTTTAACAATACAATGTACTGTTGAACGTAACCCACCCATTACACACGTCAAGAAAACTGGTTTAACACAGATATTTGTGAGACGACTGGGTGGTAAAGGATTTATAATTTTGATTCTATATGACTCAAGACTGACACATACATGTGCTGTATATGAGACAGTTAACAATAATATGGGAATGTGTGGGTTGGACTAGCACAGCATTTGCCTTTAATTAAAGTTAATCTATTGTTTCTGGGCAGTTTCCACGCCCTGTAAAGTCAGTGGCAACCAGCTGGAAAGTCCCCACAAAGATGAAAAACAGGACAAGGGGGGTGCCAAGGTGCCCCTCCTGTGAAAACTCTTTAGCGTTTTATCTGAGCATTGGCGTTGTTTGTGGAGATGATCTGGTTCTGGGTGTGCTCTCGCTCTATCGCTCGAAATCTAACAGCTCAAACCTCAGTGTGCAGACACTCTTCACACCTCTTCCTGACCACAACAAGAGCAAAAAGCAGAAATCACAGGAGTCAAAACACCTGGCAGATGCAGAACTGCCATTACACTGTGACTAAAATGTGTCACTTTCCCTGTAATGCCATGTTCAAATCAAGTGGAAGATTCAGCCTCAGTACCAAAAAACTGCTGAAGAAACATTGGAAAAATAGATGTGGAAGATGGATGTATGGATGGATGGACGGACAGATAAATCAGAGCAACTCATCTAATAAAAGTACTACTGGGAAAAAGTAAATTACAGTTATTTGGTAATTAATTCATCTCTGTTAGCAAATGGTAATGTGAGTGTGTTCCCTGTGATCAGCTGGAATCACGTCCAGCATATCTGTCTGATTCCTGGGACACACTCCAGGCTCACTGTCATCTTCTAAAGTGGTTATGAAAGATGCATTTTTTTGTAGATGTATTTCATACAGTGCTTGTGTGACTCTGTGGTGTGTGGATTTCACTATCTGTCTGAGTAGCAGTAGGGAGGTCAGGGGTCAGCAGTGTTTGCGTTTCAGTGTCAGTGAAGTGTGCTGGTGGCGCATATTTATGATCTTTGTGTCTGTGGGACTGTAGACTCAGGGGTAATGAAGACAGATCATACTTTTATCTCTCTGCTTGTCACTAGTTAAAGGTCTTCAGAAATACCAGCACCCAGTACTCTATGGAATCAGTCCTTTGATGTTTGATCAGTCCTGTTTAAGGTCCTCTAAGGTGTTGACATCGTAACACCAAACCACTGGCTCCTGTTTAAATCACTGAAGTGAAATCAGTCATCTGAAGATATGATATTATAACACCAAACAACAGGCTCCTGTTTAAATCACTGAAGTGATGTCATGCATGATGAGGCTGACAGACAGGACAAGGCTGACAGACAGGACAAGGCTGACAGACAGGACAAGGCTGACAAAGAGGACTAGGCTGACAGACAGGACAAGGCTGACAAGCAGGACAAGGCTGACAGGCAGGACAAAACTGATAAGCAGATCAAAGCTAACAGACAGGACGAGGCTGGCAGTCAGGACAAGACTGACCAGCAGGACAAGGCTGACAGGTAGGACAAGACTGACTTGCAAGACAAAATTGACATGCTGGAGCAGACTGACTGACAAGCACGACAGGCAGGCGACAGATGGGACAAGGCTTACAGGCAGGATGAGGCTGACAAGCAGGGTGAGGCTGACAGAAAGAATAAGACTGACAGACCGGAGGAAGTTGACAGACAGGACAGGACTGACAGATAGGATGAGGCTTACAGGCAGGACAAGACTAACAAGCAGAACAAGGCTGACAGGAAGGATAAGACTGACAGATTGGATGAAGTTGATAGTCAGGACAAGGCTGACAGGCAGGACATGACTGACAGGAAGGACAAGACTAACAGATAGGATGAGGCTGACTGGCAGGACAAAACTGACAGGAAGGGTGAGGCTGACAGATTGGACGATGTTGACAGACAGAATGAGGCTGACAGGCAGGACAAAATTGAAAGGCAGGACAAGACTGACATGCAGGACGAGACTGAATGACAAGCAGAACAAGGCTGACAGGCAGGACAAAATTGAAAGGCAGGACAAGACTGACATGCAGGACGAGACTGAATGACAAGCAGAACAAGGCTGACAGGCAGGACAGAACTGACAAGCAGGGCAAGGCTAACAGGCAGAAGGAGGGTAACAGGCAGGACAAGACTGACAGACAGGATGAGATTGACAGGCAAGAAAAAACTTACAAGCAGGAGAAGGCTGACAGGCAGGAAAAAGCTGACAGGAAAGGTGAGGCTGACAGACTGGATGATGCTGACAAACAGAATGAGGCTGACAGGCAGGATAAGACTGGCAGATAGGATGAGGCTGATGGGCAAGACAAAACTGACATGCAGGACAAGGCTAACAGGGAGGACAAGACTGACAGGCAAGATGAAGCTGACAGAAAAGACGAGGCTATCAGATAGGACAAGGCTGACGGGGAGGACAACACCAGCCAAAGGAAGAAGGGGCAAATTGAACAGAATTTAGCAGAAAAGGTCGACAAAACAAGGAATAAATAGAAGCAGGTGCACAAAATAATAAATAAACAGCAGAGTGTTTTTCCCAGTTATTTTATAAAACCAGTTCCTAGTTTGCATTAATGAAACCAAAGTACAATGTGAGCCTAGAGCAGCTAGGAGTAAAGGAAAGGGGGGGTTAGGGGTGCAGTGGCCACGACAGGTTTTAATCTGGGGCAAGATGGCGGTAATGAGATCACTGTTTCCCTGCGTTCAGACTGATGTCATGTGAAGTTTGTGCTTCAATAAGAGACAAATAGAGAGACAAAAGCCAGCCTCACACACACAAAGGGTGCATACGCAGACACATAGAGTGTATAACACATACACAACACACCAATTCACAGAAAAATGCTGATGTGTTGATACACATGTAACTAGTTAGGGCCTTATGCTCTGTGATATCTGCGAAGAGAATACACTGATCCTCTGTCTGCTCACAGTGGTGGCAGATATTCAGAGAAGATGTAGGGAATAAAGAAAAGTCGGGAAAAAGTGAAAAAAAAAACAGGCAGTATAAAGCAAGAAAGAAGGAGCCCATTTGGTAAGAGCTGTCAGTTTGGGATTATGAAGTTAAACACACACTCCGTGACATAAAGGGCTTCATTCATCCCCCGGTGATGAAGCCTACTACAGAGTTCAGTTTTATACCGGAGCAGTGGTGGAAAAAAAAACACACGACCTCCAGCGAAATGAGGAGTGATGGAGCAGAGAAGGAGCCTCAGTGCCCACAGAGTGCATGAACACATTTGCCTGTGCGAGTGCCTTTCAGCACGTGTGTCGGCATGTTCTTAAAGTC